TAAATATCGGAAAGAGATTACCATCCGATTTATTCCGTTCCATGTTTTTTTTACACGCAAGCAAACGTGTGAGCAGAGAAAAAATCTGCATTTAAATCGTTTACCGCTTGTGTTGAAGTGCGTGCAAACGACGGTATTTTTTTTGTCTCGATTGGGTTCAAAGGATTTTTTCTTGTTCATTCTATGCTTTTATCGGTGGCAAACCATAAAAATCACTGACCTGAAAGATACACTGAAATGAACGATTAAAATCCCGGTAAATAAACAAAAAAAAAACACACTCAAAACAAATTTAATCTATTTTACTAGCAGAGAGGCTGAAAGAGAAATAAAGAGAAAAAACAACTTTAATTGTAACACTTCTGGCAAAAAATAAGCCATCAGACCAGAAAGAGAAATAGTGAAAAAACAGTCAACTGAAAACGACTGCTATTACTACAACCACTACTGCTGCTGCTGCTGACATAAAATCAAATTGTTGGAGAATTGAATTTTGTGCAGTAAAAAGAGAAACGAAAGCAACGGCACACAAGGACCAACAATAACTATGATGATTCAGAAGAGAAATACCAATGTTATTCGAAATAAAAAGGTGATTTTTCGAGATGCAATACATAACAAAAACGCTTTCAAATCCATTCGGTCAACTCGTTCATCGCATTTCGAAAAGTTTAAATTATGTCAAAAAATCCAAAACGGCATACTCATATTTTTCAACGCAACAACAATACATGGGGTCGGATTTTTAGCCAAGCGAGGATTGCACATTATTGAAAGGTAAACATTATGCGAACTGAACAGAAAAATCGTCAACGATTACCATTACTATTTTTTTAATTTTCATTTTGATTTTTTTTCTATCTTAAATCGGTAAATGTCGATTTGGCCATATAAAAATGCGGTCACTGTTTTGTATGATGCACATCGTTGATTACAATTGTTAAAATTGAATGCAGATTTTTCATTTCGACAAAAATCACGCCATAAAAAGCGCATAATTTGAACGAAGCAACGACATTTGATGTGGCTGTGAAATGAGAAAAGAAATGGCGTAAAAAAACCAAAAAAAATAAATAAAAAAGTAGTGTGTTTTTATGGGTCGATCTCAAAAATTTTATTACCAAATTCGAGATGTTTATATGTAAAACGAGAATTTATGTGCATCTTACCACAGTGAAATGGAGTAAGTGTCCGCACGCTGTTTGATGCCAGTAAATGGGTTATTGGCATCGGTACAACTGCCATAATTCACTACAAATATGTTCTTATCGGGATATTTTGATGTTGCTATATCGTTTTTCTCTTATATCTCATTCCCAACAAAATTTTTATGGCGTTTTTTTTTGTGTGTGTTATGCTCATTTGTGTGCCAATAGCGCGCCGGCCAAAAGTGTATTCATGTACAATGCACCAATTGCGCTAAGATTCACGCTCAGCAGTTTACAAATAAAAGTTTTGGTCTGGTCAGTTCTGGTGATTGCATTTGGCTCGATTTGCTGTCGCGCGTACATTCATTTCCTTTAAATTATTATGCTTGAAATATCTATTGTTATTTTGCTGCATCCGAAGATCTGTATGTGCAAGTGTGTGTGTGTGTGTGTGCTACATTTGGCTCCTCGGGCTTTTAGTCTGTCTTGTGCAGAACATTTGACAACACATCCAAAGTATCGCGTGTTTTTAAGCTTATGTATAGAATATGAATTTCTTAGTTTGAACTATTTTTGGTCTACTGATTAATGCAATAAAATACAGACCATTTCGAAGAAGCAAAAACGAAAAAGCAAATATACCGTAAATAAAACTCGCAGCATTTCACATTGTGAAGAACTGAACGGATGTTTTATTTATTTTTCTGGGAAATTCTTTCTCTCGTCGAGAAAATTCTCAAACACACACGAGAATTGCTTTTTAATTTTCTATTCATAAAAGACTATCTAATAAGACTACGAAACTTTGCGAACTTCACTGCGTACTGCATTCAAAAGACAATGGCATAATTTGTATGTTTCTCAATTCAATCGATAGCACAATAGCATTGCCATTAGTGAATGACATCGAAATAATTTATATCGCTCATTGAGAAATAGCCAACTATATTTCAAATTTCATTTTCCCAAGCATATTTTGCCAAATTTAATTAAAGTATTTTTTTTATGATTTCAATAGATTTTTTTTTAACAGCAAAAAACAGCAAATAAATGTGCAATCAATCCAAACGGAATACGAATATTTTGTTGAGAGACGCTGTATTTAATTGAAATTGTTTGAAATAATATCGACAACATATTTTATTTTTTATTGTTTTCAATCAAATATTTAAGACGAAATCGTCTCGCTGACAAAATACGTATTTAATTTCGATGCTTGGAGAGACAGTGTGCCAGAGAAGGAGAGTGTGTAAACTACGCAGATAGAAAGAGAATGAAAAAGATGGCGCATTAATAAATGCACAAAATGCCGTATGTATTAGTGATATCCATGCGAACAACAACAGTAATATCGAAAATATGAACATAAAAAAAATTAAACAAAATATTAAAAGCTATTGAAAGCATTGCAAATTTATGAATATTTGAATAAAAATTGAGTGTGTTTTGTGATTCGACGACCAAGTTTTGAAATCACTTTGGCTCGAATGAACGAGTGGTCGTTATGTGAGTCCAGCAAGGAGAAACAAAATGTGGGCAACGCTTTCACTCTTTTGGTTCTTTAAAATCGGTTCGGGATTTCATTCCATGCGAATGAATTCAAACACTAGTTGATTTATGTGTACGTGATATGTGCAGCAAAACGAGAACGGCGACGAAGCACCTGTGTCACATGAAACACTCATACATACTCAACTCTCTCTCTCTCTCTCTCTCTCTCTCTCTCTCTCTCTCTCTCTCTCTGCTTGTGTGTGTGTAAATACATATCACATTTGTGAATATTGTGAGTCTCGACGGGCATCCAGTTTCCGGATGAATTAAAAAGTTCCAAATGAAGCAATGCATAAACTATTCAAAATGGTTATGGCATCTGTCGCTTAGATTTTTCTCCATTATATTTGTATGTGTGTGTGTGTGTTTTTTTTATTTCCAATTTTTTTTATGAACATTGGGAATCTGGCACTGATGTCACACACTGATTCTAAACGATATACTTTTTTGCGTTCATAACGTTTTCGTTTTGTGTACGCTTTTAGTGTAACAAATGGTTCTCAGCATTGTCCAATCCAATTTACATTTCCACCTGTTTATTCATAGTTCGGTATATGTGTTTTGAAGCGAAGGGTTTTTTTTACCATTTCTAATTGTGAACTCTACTGAGACATGTAGAGTACCACTTTAATTGATATATATACTTATACGCATGCAAAAATAAGAAGAAAAATCCATCCAAATGAAATTTGCTTATTCATATATTAAGTGCAATTTGAGTTGAAAGCTTGACCAAGAGAGAGTGTGCACTTTTTAGTGCGACATTTTTTGAGCAAGATGATGAACGTGACGTTGACCCAAAAACTTTGATGGAAATAAATGCGATCTTTTTTAGGGCTAGTAAATGCCATTTCGTACTATATTTGATGGTCACACTATTTTCGGTGGCAATTTTCTTGTCTTTGTTTCACATTGTTCGGGTATATTGCAATATTCACATTGCACCACTATGTATTATCATGAACACATTTCTTTCCAAGGATGTATTTCATATTAAGTTAAGTGCGTTTGCCTTTTTTCATTTCAACTCGAAATCATAGACATTATCATATCTTTTCATTTTAAAATTCAAGCGCTCGACACACACACACATAATTTGAAATGCAAAGCAATTTTTAGTGGTGCTATGTCTCTCCGAGAGACTCTTTGGCATATTTTTCTTTCAACTCCATTTGATCATAAAATAGCAAAAGGCTCACAAAACGAGAAGAAGGAATTTATTTTCTGAAATACTGAGTGCGGTCACTTCAAAATGGTATTCCAAACAGGAGAGCATGTTTCTTTTTTAATTTGTACGATAAACAAGAGTATGTTTTTTCGCAATTCAAAATGTTTTTTTTAAAGAAATTTTTTGTTCTGAGCCTTTTTTTTTAATTTGTAAGCTTTAGTCGAAACATTTAAAAAAAAAAATTCAAAAACATGCTCTCTGCTTATTTTGCAATACTTTACTAAACGATGAACATACTCTTCTATCGTTATTTTCAATAGATATGCATTTGAAAAATGTCCAAAGCAATGCGACGTACACGTTCCTTTAACTCGCACAGTTTTGTGCTAATCAGTGCTGAACGACTGAACAGACTGTGAGTAACATAAGTTCGTTAAAAATAGCACATACATAGAACTATCCGACAGACAGTTTGCTGATCATACTAAACGAAATAAAATAATAAATTAAAAATGAGAGAAAAATGAAAATGTTAACTCGTGTGTGTAACATTAGAAAAGTGTGTAACGATGCTGTTCCAAAGGATGTTTTTTAAGAGGCATACAGACTTTTATTTTAAATGTGAATTTATTTATTTGATTGAAACATTTATACCACTTAAGCATAAAAGAAGTTTTATATACATATGAGCAATGAGTTTCATACGGATCCATTGTTAGGTCAATTTTTGACCAAAATGTGAAATTTTTTCGAGAATTTCCGGCAATGATGAGGTCAATGATTGGCTTCCATATGCTCCAAAAAAAACCCAGAGTTATCAAATTGCTCACACCCTTTACTTTCGATTTAGAGGTTACTCTAACTCAGTATGTTTTTGAGAACATGTTTTTTTTGTTGCTCAATTCCTTTTTATTCTCTTTCTCCATTTTCTCCACTTTATCGTGATTGTCTTTTATCCACTTTTGTTTCGTTTCTCTTTTTTTCCATTTTTTTTTCTTTTCTTTCTCGGCAATGTTTATAATAATAATGCCGGCTTCAAAACTGTATGTGGAAATGGACATCGGGCTGGTTGGCTACTGATGCTGCTGCTATTGCAATTTTTTGCTGCCATTGCTGTTCGAACACAATCTAAGATTGCTGTGGATATCATGTATCTGCATTGCGATTTTCTTTACCGCATCGTTAACTCAACGAACTTGGAAGAGATTCCAAACGTCACCCATGGTCATATCAATGGATCGAAATAAATTCTTTTGGAATACAAGTTTTCCATCGCTAACTGTGTGCCCGCACAAGAGAATCGATGATGCCAAACTCCATGAATATATGAAGTAAGACTGTGCTCTTCTCAAATCTAGTAATTTATATCATAAGAATGAGATGCAAAATTAAAGTAACTCCGCACAAATGCATACAATAATTTGACGTAACTATTTTGATTACAAAAAAAAATTATTATATTTGTTTTTGTTAGATCTTCGATACATGGTATCGATTTAAACATGACTAATGAATTACATTAAATTTTCTCTCTTAATGGACTTTTCTATAAATCTTTTTGGTTCACCGCAAAATGGATAACAACCGAATATAGAGCACGGCCGCAGATATTTAAAAGTGATGACGATCGCAACGAATTCACCGATTTCATTGAAAAACTATCGAATGCAACATTCGAAAACTATGATCAATTACCAATGAACCGTATGTTTCAATATTATTTTTAAGAAAAAAATGTGTAGTTATTTGTGAACCGTCCATTGGTTATTAATCACAATCCATTTTTAGGTACCTTTGAAATTGATAGCAGTCAATATATGGATCTATTGTGGAATCTATCCTTTGTTTTTAAGCCAGAGCTAAATAGTGGATCGACAAATAAATTATACTTACAGAATACGATTACTGAGTTGGGCATTTGTTATGCAGTTAATTCAAAAGTAGCTGTTTATAATTCATACAGGTAATAGCACGAATTTCTCAACGTCCACCAACCACTATGTCGAGTGTATATATCCACAATGCATTCAATAGAACTGAAAATAGTTAAATTTATTAATTTAGATATATTCACAATGTGGCATTGAATGTGCAAAAATTGTCATCAAAAATAGATAACAATCGGAACAACAACGTGGAATGACGCGCATATACACAAATTTGGTAGATTACATTGTTCAAACGATCACGCTGGCTACATGCTAGTTTTTTGCCATGCACCCTTCTCTTTCTCTTTACCATTTGCTTTGACCAAATGTTGTATCGTTAAATTCCACAGCATACATCCATAAAATTTCATGTTTCGCAACGAAATGAACAAAAAATATGTATATGCATTGTTCACTAGAATAGAATAATAAGCGTTATTTTATTATGAATTTCAACGGAATATATTCGAATCGCATAATGTGATTATGTGTCTGTGTGTGTTTATGTAAAAAGCTGCAAACGAATCAAATAAATTTTTGCCGAGCCCGTTGGGTTTAACTCCATTTGTTGCGATCTATCATTTATATTGTCTGTAAGTGTGTTCATAGAAATTTATATCATGCAAAATATATCGATATTGAAGAAAAAACGTCGATACCCGGCCAATTTTGTTAAAATCAACACTTTTCCAATTTAGTCATTAATTTTTGTGCTGTTGCTATGTGTGTCATTTGGTATTGTTGTTGTTTTGTGGTATTTTTGTCGATGGTCGATTTTAATGACAAATTGGATGATGGTATGTATTTGTCATTCCGTTTCGTACACAGATACTGGCAAAATAATCGATGGGATTTTGTTAAAACCAATGATACAACACTGGTCACCGTACATCCGCTTGATGGTATGATGATTTTATTTTGTTCCGTTTTTTTTTTGCTGTTGAAATATTTTAAATAATTCAAAAATTATGTATTTTCAATATTAGGCGAAATCTATGCCCAGATTATCAATTTATCATGTGCATATGAGGTGTATTTTCATGGCTATCACGAAGTACCGGACATATCAAAGCAAAGATATTCATTCCCAGCTGGTGACTATACAACGGTCGAACTTCTCGCCCTCGAAATTCTCACATCCAACGATGCAAAAGCGTAAGCAATTAATCCTGGTCAAACTTTATTATTTGGTTTGCTCTTTTTTAATCGACACAATCGCCGTCGAAATCAACGCTCATTAAATTTTTAACTAAATACATAATCCCCAAGCATACCTTCGACGCGCCAAAGCTCTCAATTTATTTATTATATTCGAATTCAATGTGATGAAGAAGACGAAGTTGAAAAATAATCAGATTAAAAAAGAAGCGACGGGTATGAGGGATTTGAGTACTTTAGAAAATCGGTCTTAAATACCATACCCATAACTATTGCTACCACTGACAATTTAATGGTATTTTCATTAAACGGGTTATAAAATTACGATTAACTAAGTGTATGTTAAATTGTTTACCATAAACGAGAAAGCGAAAAAAGTGAAAGTGCACAACAAACGATTCTATCGAAATAATGACCCCGAAATAATGACTCTAACAACGTTAAACGACATTGGCAACAAATTTATCTTTATGAAAGCAATTATGGTTCATGTGATGTAATTATTTAAGTAATGAACCACTCACTTAAGGATTTTACAAATTAATTTTGAGAGATTTATTCCAATCCATGGCCATTCGACCGACACCCCATCTTCCATACAATTCCGAAACACCGTATGTTATGTCAATGACAGTGGAATGAAAGCATTTCATAAACCACTTCATGAAGCGGCAACAGCATTTCTTCGAAATTATTGAATGGCTTTGAATAGTATTCAATGGAGTGTGTCCAAAATAAACTGTTCCATTATTAATAACAAGCAAAATTCTGCATATTAATCATTATCATCGCAAATAATGACATATTTATGCCAGATATATGCTATGGCATATATATCGCATGGAATATTATTTTAGATGATGACGCATTTCACCTGTTAGAGATACGTTTGAAATCATTTTTACTTTGTTGGTCGTAGGCGGAACTAAGCTTCAAAGCCTACAATTTAAGGTATTCTTACTTTCGATTATGGCAATGTAATTCCATCGAAGTTTGCTGATCATATTAAAGTAAATCACTCAATTATCCGAAATCCGCTTACATTACCCGAGGAAATACCGTTCGATGAATCAAAAGGAGTAAACATGAGACGTTTCAACTACCCTCCTTTTCCATCGAAAGCTAAAATTGGAACTTTAAATGCCATCAATAATACCAAAATATTCGAAACCTTGTTCACATTTTTATTGTAATGAAACTAACTCTCGCCTGACTTGCGAATGCTTCTTCCAAGCAATTTTATTTCTTCTTGTATTTGAAAAATGACCATCAGCTTTTTGTTTTCTTGCGATTGCGTGGATTTTGAGAAAACTATAACGAATGTATTATGATTTGTGTGTTGCTCTGTCTCTTCGTGTGCAAATACTTCAATTTTGCGAAATTGTTTGTCAGTGGGTGTGAATGTGTGATGAAATGCCATTTTTCTCATCTTATCTTGGTCGAACAATTGCACACAACTTGCGTATTTGTAATTCGTTGAATTGCTCGAATGAATCGGCAAAATTTCATAGTCTACAACGCATATATTCTGTATAAAACAAAAGATTAATAAGCATATAGAGTATTATGGGGTGCGTTTATCGGTGGAACAAAGCTTTGCTTTCTAATTCAAGCAATAAATAATGGTACATAATCAATTATTTCACGATTGACTCTTCTATTTTGCGTGCAAATGCTTTCTCTCTCTCTCTCGCTCTCGCTCTGCCTTCCTGCTCACGAGCATATTGTTCTTCTTGATTGGGCATAAGATGAATCGGAAATGTGTGTTTAGTTGTACACGACGAAAACATTATTATTGTTATGTTATTTTGCGAAATGAGAATCTCATTAATGAAATCGGATAATTATTGGTTAGATTGAAAGTGTATATTTATTGTAAGCAAACCCAACCATTTGCCATTGCAATCGATTCCACATATACATGGCATGGTTAGTTATTTGCCATGAATGTGAGGAAACCCATATACACACACACAACACACATATCAAAGGTAAAACAAAGCGAGCCCGGATTTAGTTCGTTTCATTCGGAATTTGTATTAGTCTATTACAAACAAAAGAAAATGTTATCTTATCGAGACAATGAATTGAAATGACAAATAAATAATGATGTTATACGCCGCTTTCGATGCCGATAATTTATCACATTAATTGCTTTGGATGAGCACATATACTTTTTGCAAGCAACAGAAATAAAGAATGAAAAGATGCGGAAAATAATTCTATAAGCATCAAATACCGATGCACATAGCATAATCACATGGTGTGAGAGAGAGAGAGAGAGAGAGAAAGTGGCAAATAGACTGAAAGAGAATCAAATCAAATTGATAATAGCCATTGTCGAATTTTCGGTTTGATTGTGATGCAAGGGGCAATAATAGAAATGTTGCCCATTATGATTTCATCGGCACAATAGGAACCAACCCGACGATGCATATTCAGATTTTCGAAATTCTCAATTTATTTTGCAATACAAAGATGTGAACAACTGAGGCGATGCACTGATCCAATGTATACAAACTCGCATATATTCCCTAGGATGTTTATTTTTCTAATTTTACACGCAATTAGTACTCGATCGAAAGTATACGGTATAAAATACATTGTATAAATATGATGCTCGCCCAACAAATCGATTACTTTTCAGCGACATGGGGGCTTCTACACAGTCATGCACACACATCATACTTAACCATTTTGATCTCCATAGCTCTGCTTTTGCTTCTGTCTCGGTTGCTGTTGGCAGCTTTTTATCCTTTTTTCCTCTGTCTTTCTTCACTTAATTCAATCAATTAATTATTCGAGCGATTTTGCAGTCGACCTACGCAAATCATTCACAGAGCATTTATTTTATCAAAGACAAAAGAATAAATCCCACCATTTTCAAGTGGAAATATCATACTGGTATCTATTGCGAGTACGCACGCAATTCGATGTAGTTAAGCTTAATAAATAAGTTTCCATTTTCTTCATTTGATGACGTAGTTTTTTGTTTCTTTAAATGTAATTTTTCTTTTCACCAACACCTTGCATAGATTGAGCATATCACAGCGTCAATGTCGATTTGCACACGAATCGGATATCCTTGAAACAAGCCCAATTTATTCATTCAACTTGTGCCAAAACGAGTGTCGTCTTCGATTGGCCCTTAGAACATGTGGTTGTGTACCGCATTTTTATCGGTCCCGAAGTAAATTTTCCAATTTTTTGAGTGATATTTTCATATAATTTTAACATTTAAAAATATACTTACAGCCAAATATGGGAAAAAGTATCGGGTGTGCGATTTTGAAGGAATACGGTGCTTGCAAACTATAAAAGGTACATTTTGAAAACTAAAGCGAAACAATCTAACGAACATTATTTATACTTTCTATTCAACATTTTTTTAGATGTATTGATTTCGCTTAAATCCAAAATTATTAACATCGACTGTGACTGTTACGCCAATTGCGACGATCCGAATTTCTTTGTTAAAGCCTATGTTAGTGTTTCGTTGAACATTTTAAAATAATTTAATGACAATTATAATTCACAGAGGTCACGAGCATGGTTTCTTGGATCGAATTTGCAATGGGGCATTAGCGAATATCCGAAGATGCAGCTGAAACGAGAAGTAATCTTTAGTATGACAGATTTTCTTGGTATGTAAAATATGATTTTTTTTAATGATTTTTCTTTGCTTTCGCTCGCCCTATACAAGGACCGGTTCGTGCATATTGCCATGCTTGCCTAGATACGCTAGGTAGCATAGATATGCCAAGCATAGCGGCAAATGCAACCGACGCATCGCCGTTCACTCTGTATGAACAATACACATGTTCGTGTATGCAGGCGACCGTGCATTGAGAGACGTACTCATAATATATAGCTCGAATCGAATGGCGATGGGTGTGTTGCGGCTTGCGTCTCCGCTATGCTATCTTGCATAGAAATATGCGTGAACCGGTCCCTCGCCCTATATCAAGTTTTTTTTTCAGTCTATATCGGTGGAATGGCGGCTCTTTTTCTCGGCTGTAGTTTATTGAGCTTTACCGAACTCGCCTATTATCTCACATACCGATTTTGCCTCGGATTTTGCCGATCTTTTTGGAGAAAATAATGATTGCATTCGACTATAAGATAAATACTTTTTTGGTGTGAAGTTTTTGTTATCTCAAAAATGAATGGAATTTATGTAGAAATGAAAAAAAAATGTCAAAAATTATAATACCGTTATTCGTTGTTCGTAAATAATCGTAATCATATTCAAAAGTTGGTATGTTTCTGGAGAAGGGATTTAAAGATAGAGAAGATTCATCACAAAATGGGGCGTTTGAGAAAGTATTGCAACGAAATCTTCGACGCCAAATTTTTTTTCTAGACTGAAATAAAGGAATCGCATATCAAGTTTCATTCTTTAAAAAAAATACTAATAATGGCAAAAAACAGTGCAGAGAGCCTTACAATTTTAAAGAAGTGCAAACGGATGACAACATAAAATGTCCATTTCAATTGTGTTATGTAAAAAATGTTCTATGTATTTTGCATTCAATGGTGAGAATAAAACTTCATAGATATTTCTTGATTTGAGTATCGTGTGTGAATACGTTTTATTTAAATAACTGAATGAAATTAGTCTTTTTGTTCAAAGTGGCTGTCGTTTTCTTATACATTTTCCAATGTAGTCGTATTGGTTGTTAGTTTGAATCGACATTTGTACTTAAAATTCAAATTATTCGTATAAATACTTATTATAATAAATAGAATGATGCACATAAAAGTTTGGTTGTGTTGAATGATATTTGAAGCAATAGTATATGGAAGTTTATCACTGATGCTGACTAATTTGTGTAACGAATGCTATATGGATGTAAGTATTTCAATATATGTGTGTGTCAATTTAGCGTCGTTTTTTCTTGTCTTGTTTACGGCTTCGATGAGCATATGGTCGCTTTGGAGTTTCTTGTGGCGATGACTGGCTCGAACTATACTCTTCCAAATCGGCCTAAAACAACAACAAAAACCAACCGAATTGGAAACAAAATGAAAATCGTTCAATCAAAAAAAAAAAAAAAAAAAACAATCAATGAAAATGAAACGAATAAAATTACCTTAAGAACATTCCATTTCCATGATCTGGGTAAACCTTTTGGCACCATGAAAATGACAGCGCCCAAACAAATCATTTGGCAAAATGCCCCAATATACAGACCGTATCGGATGGCCATTGCCATTACACTTTCATTTGGAATGTCTAATGCCTCCATATTATTGTATGCAATGAACAATAGTACATTCACAATAAGAAGAAAGCAGGAAAAATCGTAAGCGATTTTCAATAATGTTATGATTTGCGACGACTTTTTTTGTCGCTGAGATTTTGATGTCGCAGTCGAGTTCAGTTTTGCGTAATTTTCTTAAATCCTCATCAAACAACAATATAATATTGTCTCACCGTTGAGAACGAATGCTATATAATTATAAAACTATGTTCAATCACTTTTCAGTCACCATTCAAACAATTTTGATTGTCCTTTACAATCTCACAAATGTAATCATCAGCGGCTGTTGTTTTGTTTTGACAGTCACACCAAACAAATTGAAAATAATTTACAATGACTTGGATCAATAACCAAGTAGTCGGCAACAAAGTTGGTTTTTTTTTTTTTTCGCCAATGTTCGTTAAATCCCAAATGAACGTTTAACGTTCAATTATCACTTTTTGGCGTCAATTCTCGTTTTTTTTTCATCTCGTTTATTTTTTTTAGTTAGAGAATTCTTGTTTTTACATTTCGCAATAAAAATCCAAAAATAAAAAAAATTCCAACCGATTTGAAGTAAAATCGATCTTGAATAAAACGAATGAATTTCGAAGGGTAAAACTTGGCACACGCTGGCAACACTAACCATTGGTTGGTAAATGAACGTTGTAAACACAAATACAATTGCACACCACATTATTGAATGTACAAGCTAATGTAGTTTGTTTTGATTAAAAATCGTTTGATTTTATTTTTATTCTATGGTTAAATGTGCCTTTAAAATATTGCGAATATAAATTTCAACAAAAACAGTATAAAAAATGAATGAGTCAGGTGAGTGGTTTGATCGTAAATTTGTGTAGAATTTACAAATATTAAAAATAATTCCTTGTGTTATTTAGTGAATTTACTTGAGTTTTCAACAACTGAACCGGTTATGGCAAAGACAAATGTTGACGGGAACAAAAAAACAATTGGAAATGTGTTGCGGTCCATAGATGACTCGATCGATGTTAATTCCGGCAATGAACTATTGACAAATGTAAAGAAAAACGATTCATATCGAGTTATTCCATTTTTCTATCATAAATTACCGAAGAGTACGGATATTTTGGCGCAAAAATTACGTGAAGAGGCTCGCACATTATTCTTACAAAAACGCAGCAAAGAACTGCTCGACAATAATGAATTGAAAACATTATGGAACATTTTGCAAAAGAATTACACACAACCAAACATAAACAATGAACAATTCATTAGTTACGATGATTATTTACGTGTGGTTAAAATTGCCGGTGAAAAATTTAAGTAAGCATTCAAATATGATCAGCAACCAACCAGCCGGTAGTTCTCATTTGATTGATTTCATTTCAGAATTTATTTGACATCATCGTTGTTTCTGCGTTTACAATCCATTAGCGGTTATCCGGGTCATGTTAATATTATGTCACTTTTCAATTATACAATGCGAAAAGTTTGGCTGCAACAGACGCGTATCGGTTTATCATTATACGATTATACTGGACAGGGATTTTTAAGAGAATCGGTATGTGATTTTTGTTCGATATTATAAATTTTTCTTTCAAATTATATTCAGTCTTTATCGGGCAACATATGTTCCAATTCGTTGAAACGCATTAAAAGAATCAATTTTTATAATCCTATAGGATCTGGAATCGTATATTTTGGAATTGATTCCAACTTTGCCGCAACTAGAAGGTTTAGAAAAATCATTTCATAGTTTTTACGTGTGTACAGCTGTTCGAAAGTTTTTCTTCTTCCTGGATTCACTGCGAACAGGCCGGATTCGTATTCGTGATGTGTTGGCATGCAGTTTTCTTGAAGATTTGCTCGAGGTTTGTCATATTTTTTTTCCTCTTTCCTGTTGAATGGTCTAAACTTCTGTCTGTCATTTTATTGTCATTTTTTTCTCTCGAATAGTTGCGCGATGAAGAAACACCAAAAGATGCTCAAGAAACGAATTGGTTTTCAGCACCGTCTGCGCTCAGTATTTACGGTCATTACTTGAATTTGGATAAAGATCACAATGGTATGCTAAGCAAACAAGAGCTCGGCGGCTATGGATCGGGCACACTGACAACAGTATTCTTAGATCGTTTATTTGCTGAATGTATTACATACGATGGCGAAATGGACTATAAAACCTATTTGGATTTTGTGCTAGCGTTGGAAAATCGACAAGAGCCACAGAGCTTGCAATATTTATTTCGAATTCTTGATTTCGATCATCAGGGATACTTGACATCATTTACGTTGAACTACTTTTTTAAAGTAAGAGCCATTTATTTATTGATGAAAGTTATATACATGAAATTGAATTAACAAATAAAAATCGTCTGTATTTTAGGGTATACAGGAGCAAATTGAAGCGCTTCGTGCTGAACCGGTCAATTTTGACGATGTAAAAGATGAAATATTCGATATGATTAAGCCGAAAGATCCAACAAAAATCACATTAAAAGATATTATTGATAGTGGTCAAGGCGAAACAATGGTGTCCATTCTTATCGAATTCCATAAATTCTGGGCATATGAGAATCGCGAAGCAATGGTTGTTGATTCAAACATTGAAGAACACCAATCGATACTTTGAAGTGTAAACGTGATTTTGTCACGATTTTTGTTCGCGACTTTTCACACATTATAAATTAAGTTGTCAATTGTGTTGATTAAGAAAAAGAAAACAAAGCACAAAAAACACCGCAAAATATTGTTTATAATTCTTTTGTATAAAACATAGTATTTGTTTATTGCGTGTCCCTGCTTGCGTGTGTGTATGTGTATGTCTAAAAATACACCAGCAATACAATGAACTCATTGTTCATGGAAACGAAGTTCAGATGGCGCTAGCATGAAATTGTTCCGAGCTGTCAAACATCGATGCAAAGACAAACAAATCTCTGCTAATAAGAACGTAGACAGAACAGAACGACTTGTCGGTGTATAAACAGTTTGTTTATAATATGTAACAAGTGTTCGCGCTTTTTTTTAATCATTTTCATAGTTTTTTTTTTGCATAGTTTTTTTTTTATTTTTTACTCATTTTATTCGGTAAGCATGAGGAAGAATAATCATTCAAGCGATGACAGTGATAGCGAAACTGAAACAGATTATGTTCGTTCCAACATTAATCCACATTGGTTTAGTTCATATAATAACGGGGAATTCGGGGATGAATTTCCAGAAAATTTGGGTGAGGATACAGACAATTTAAATTCAGCGCAGAATTTACAACAAAATGGACAAGATAGGACGCATGACAAGCCACATCCAACGATAAAAGTGTCAAAAAGATTTTTGAAGGAAGTTTTGGGAAAAGTGAAAGAAAAATTACATTGTCAGCAGAATAATGAACAAACACACGTGTCAACGAACGCGACATTGGATACATCTCCCATACAAGCACAAAATGCAAATCAAATTGCAATCAACACCGCAATTAATACCGTTGCAATGTCCCAACGGCCTCCTTGCATCGTACAACCGCCGACGGCAGAACAGCAACAATTTATTCCAAATAACGTAAGCAAAGTAATTTTTTTTTCCATTTTTATGCTGATGTATTTTTTTTTTTCAAAGCAGGTTCCACGGCCATATGCACCAATGCTTAATATACCAAATTCAAGGGCAATGAATTCTTATTCTGTACCATTTCAAAACCCTGCCGCCGTTCCATTTCAACAGCCACCGTATATGGTGCAAATGCCATCAAACTCATATGCTCAAACCTCATCATACGACATACACGCATTTAATATGCCGTATGGGCAAGTGCCACAACAACAACAAATGTATCCACAAATGTATTCGCAATCACAATCTATGCATTCGAATTATATGAATCATGCTGAACTCCCATCATCATCGCATTCAAATATGCATCATCAACAAAGACCAATTGATCCAAGACTCGCAAGACGAGAGCCACCACCAACACAAATGCGACCACAAACGGCAATGCAAACACCTATCCCACTTATGTCAATACAAATATCAAACCCACAAATGGTATTACGAACACCAAACCCGCCAACTGGAGCCCAACAAAATCTTCGTCATCATCAACAACAACAGCTACCACCGTGTAGACCAGCTGGAATTGAAAACAAACGTGGTATTTCATTAGACGCATATCGACGTAATCAGCATCGTAACACATCAGCGTCGTTGCCACCACAACAACAATCTCAACCACCATCGCAACCATCAGTAGTGCCACGACCGCAAAATGGTGAACTAGCACCATCAGAAACCAATAAAGATGAAATCGAACCAGCATTCTCACCGTCTGCTGACACACCAGTCAGCTCACCGGCCACACCAGCATCGGTTGAGGTAAATAATCAACGAGAAAGCGATGAAGATAGCCAAGAAAGCGCGATAACTGAAGAAGTAACAATCAAAACTGAACCGGACATTCTAACAAATGGTGATAATGATAACGAATCGGTTGGTTCGGGTGAGACTATACCGTTCACATGCGAGACATTCGTGAATGATCGGAGAGTATTAATGGCCGAATTAGACGAACAAGCAAAAATGCTTCAAGGTATGAATATATTATTCATCAATTGGATTGTAGCATTTTATGAAACATCAAATTAAATTCAATATTTACATCATTTTATTTTAGACAATACAAATTCCGCACAGTGTCAGGTGGAAGAACTGATTGTTCAGGGCCTAGAAAATGAAAAAGAACACGACGACAACGAAGACGAACCACAAAATGTGACGGTCGAAATACAAAGTGATAACGAACAATCGTGCAATGAAGTTTCACAAAGTGAATCGGATGAATTGTTAGAGCCGATTAAAAGTCCGATTAACAAGCCAGATGAAAGTTCAGAATGCCGGGTAGATTTGGAACGAATCGACGAAAATCCAATGTTTTTGAAGTATTTTTCACAAAAAAAACGCATTGGCAAAAAACAACGAAGAAGAATAGCAAAAGTTCCAACAAGTTCAGAATCTGAAAGTGAGCCAGAACTCACACGTACATCGCTACAACCATCTACATCGGAATTGCAGCGGCTACCCAGATCGCCACAACCATCTACATCGGGTGTGGAAGTGCAGCGGCTACCCAGATCACCACAGCCATCTACATCGGGAGTGCAGCAGCAATCCAGACCACAAAAACTAGAACAAGACGAACCAATTCCACCGGTAGAACAACCAAAACCTATAGATAGATATGCAAATTTATCGCCGATTATACTGTCCGATTCGACTGAAGAATCGGAATGCGAAGTAGATGAAGAAGTCCATGAAATCTCAACCGATTCGGAGGAAGAGTATTAAAACTCCTATATACAAAGAAAAATGTATAAAGATTACGAGTATTTAGATTTACTACACAGTACAAAATGAAGTTAACAAAAGGCGATTAAGTTAAAATTTAATAACAAATTGAATTAAATAATTTTTTTTAAATAAGATGTTTTATTATTAACGACTTATAAATGTTCTTTGAAAGAATTTAATTTTTTGTTGTATTAGCGTGAGCTTTGTCGGTTTGTTTCACCGATTCATCAGCACAAATTCGGATGCCATTGAATAATGATCAGAGCCATAAATTGAATTTGGTATGCATCCCATTCTCTGGCAGTTTTGAACGTATGGCAATTCAAAGTTGGCCAATAATTTGAGCGATGAAAATGTTTGTGGTATCACAACGGGTCCAACGGTGCGACGTGAATATTTTGTATAAAATATGTAGTCAACTAAAATCCATTTGTTTTGATATGTCGATGCTATATTATTCGATTCCATATTATACAGTGTCGGTGTGAGATTTAGCATATGCCATAATGAGCCAGTATTGTATGGCAGTCCAGATGTTTCAACAGTTTTTGCAACTGCTGTTTTGTCAGTAGAATCGCTAACGTCGTCTGAAACGGTTTCGGTTGCATCGTTTGTCTTTTTATCACTATGAAATAAGGCTGTGGTTTTTCGATTTTGATGAATCGTTACATTCATATGTTGACAATCATCCGTAATGCCAAGTTCAAGTGGCAAATTTACCGAATTTGTACGACCTTGATGTACGAGTTTATACGGTTCGGATGATGGTAAACTATTAAAATCACCCGTTAAAATGATTGGCAATGGTTCCTGAGTTTCTGTATGCACCGACATTCGATCGAGCTCGGCTAGCAATATCTGTAATTGTGCGGTTCGTACGTCATCTCTTTTGGGATTGTACAGCAAATGCGTTGTGGCAACAATGAATTGAATATTTTTCAATCGACGTGATGCAAATTTGGCTATGATTGCAACATTACATCGATCGAGAACCTAGAAAAATATAATGAAAACAAATTAATTTTTTTATTTCATTGTAATTACGCTGAAAAAAATTTCATTAAAACTAAAAGAATTCATCGATAGTGCATTGCCACTTACCTTAACACCCGGCTGATAAAATTCAACGTAATGATGATCGATTAATTTAAATAGCTGTGGATTGTAAAATATTGCACATCCATCGTAGTAATCAATGCCGGTTCTCTGTTTATAGAGCGGTTTGTCGTAGTTCATTGGTTTCAGTGCCATTGCGATGTCGTCCAAATGTGATTCTTGCACCTCTTGTAGACACAAAATCTCAGGTTTTATATTTAAAATTTCGTTCCGTAGACATTGCAATCGATGCGGCCATTCAAGATATGGTTGATAATGTGTTGTGTATAAATACGGATGCTTTTCAATTAATGTTTGTGCCAAAATGTTGTATGACATCAATTTGAATGGGTGTGAATAACGACGATCGTATCTGAATGTGATGCCAAATCGGGTACGAGCCCATCTTCGATGGTTTCGTTGAACATGCATTTGATTTTGTGTGTGATTACAGTTCAACGGTGGAAAATGTTGCCAACAATCGACCGGAATGTTCATTGCTACACCACTCTTTCGATTTCATTCGAAAAAGTAAACGAACTTTTTTGGTGTTTTGTTTTTTGTATATTTTGTACAGAATAAAAATCAGCTGTCACATGAATATCGCCTTGTCAAATGTAGCAGTACAAGCAACTCCATCTATTATCGTCAATTCAAATAAGACTCACAATTTAGAAAAAATATATATTTTTTTTTATTTTCCCACTCTCACTCACAAATATAATACCAAATGATATTTTGTTAAAAATTCGCTATTGTCACGGTTTGCACCAACAATTCAATGAGGTACTCTTTCGACATAGTGATAAAATTCTTTCTAATTATAACAACAAATAAATTAAAATATTTATAATTCTATTCAGAGACGTATTCAATTTATTCGATGGAAAAACGGGCTGCAACTGAATAGTGATCAGATCCTAGTTGATGATTTGGTATCGTTCCATTGGAAAAGCATTCAAAGGCATTGGGCAATTGATAATTTTCAAGCAATTGTAGTTTTGATGTTGATGACGCATTATTCGCTTCGGAGAAGAAAATATAATCAACCATTATCCATTTGTTGTGGTATGTTGAGGCATGCTTTTCATCTATAACAACTGGTTTCGTTGGACATATTGTTGGTAACAAATTTAAATGATGTTTTATTACACCGGTATCAAATGGTAGATCAGATTTATCAATTTCTTCATCGCTTATCACACGCTGTTGTACTATTCGACTCTCACAGTTTGCATTTTGTGCACTCGTACGTAACTAGATTGAACATGAAAAAGGCAAGCAATTACAAATTTGAATCGAATGAAGGGTAAAAATGTTGTGTGATTTTCTTACAGCCGTTTGGTATCGATTCAAATTTTCTGCCACATCAATATGTTGACAATGATCCGAGATGCCAATTTCTCGTGGCAATAAATTTTGTCGATTTTGTCCAAATCGAAAATTCATTTTTTCAAACACTTTGCTCGGCACAATATCCTCGCCGATTATCAAACGAAATACTTCCGATTCTTGTTTTACATTAAAATCACCAGTCAATATGATTGGCACCGTTTTGCATTGATTGACATCATCACGAGCGATTCGGTCGAGTTCAGCTAGTAGAACTGAGCACTGTGCCAGCCGAATATCATGTCGTTTTGGATTGAATAGTACTGAAATTATGAAAAAAAAACAAAAAAAAAACATTCCATCAAAATCTGAACTTACAATTAGTATTTGAATTTAATATTATACATACAATGTGTTGTGGATACCACAAAATTAATGTCTGGTTTAGATTTCAATGCAAATTTTGCAATAACGGCCACATTACATCGATTAAGTATCTGAAAGTGTACGTATTTCACTGAATTGGAAAATGTAACAATTTTTATCTGTATTTTGTTTTTCATACTTTAATTTCCGGTTGAAAATAGTCAACAAAATGGAACTCAATCAAATCGAATAGGTGTTTTTTGAAGAAAATTGCGCATCCATCGACTTGCAATCCTGTTCGTTTTTTAAATAACGATGTATCATAGCCTTGATCATTGAAATGTGCGGAAATTTCGCTTAAATGACTCTGTTGTACTTCTTGCAGGCATAAAATGTCGGGTGAAATATCATCGATTTCTTGTTTAAGCACATCAAATCGATGTGTCCATTGTAATGAATCGGGATTATGGTTACGATAAAGTGAAGGCTGTGAATCAATGTAATGTTGTGCTAAAATATTGTATGACATCAATGTGAATGAATTTTTTGATGGCTTAAATGATTGATTATCAATGGTTTTCCATTGTCGTCCATTTTGTGTGCTATAACAACAAATGCTGGTAAAATTGTATCCGTTGGTTTTAGTCAAAGATATTTGATACGTTGACCTTGAATACAATTCTTTTGCTGCATATCTTGAATGGCATGATGCACTGCGGCTACGTGGGCCTCTTAAATTGGTGCAAAGTGCACGACGAATTATCAATCCAGTCGACATTTTACGAAATAATTAACTGAAAAAACAAATGGTTTTCATTCATTGATTATCACATTAAAGTTTGACTTTAAACGAAATGCGGAAGTGTGCTTACCTTTTTCAATTAATTTATTGGAAAATTATTCCACTAATTTGACGACTGCATGTGATCACACATAAACAATTTCAATACACAATTTTTGAATTTAATTTAAAATACACGAAAACATTCCAAACACAAAATTTCGGAAACTGATGCAACATTCAAAACAAAAATTCGTCTACAATTCAATGTCATGTCAATATTTGACAATTCAAACGCACACTTGTGCATGCACATGTTTTATATACTCATATAATGTGTATAAAAGCATAACCTCGGCATTGTACGTTTGTGTATATTGTAAACGTCAGTTCAAGAACACACAGGGAAATAAAGTATAGATAAATCTATACCAAAGTTTGAATATCTCAACAAAAATGTGTTTGAGTAATTCTTACTTTTAGATGTATAAAATCTATATATAGTATATCCTGACTCCTATTTTTCTTCACTATTTTCAGACAATTTTCCTGTTTTTTCGTTTCTTGTCATTTGGACTTCCCCATTCCATTTTACAGGATGGTTTTGAATATTGAGGAGATTTCATTAGATTTTGGACGAAATGAGTCCACTCCATCATGCCAGTCTTCCAGTGCATTAAGTTTTCATTTTTAAGATATTCGTATGGGACATATCAAAATCGGTCATTATCGACCATAAAGGTCGGGTTCCTCGTCCCGAAATTCAGGACAGACTGATTGGGTCGGGTTTACATTATGCCGTAGAATGTGAAGTCTGTATTCTTTATTAGGAACTGTGCAAATAATCTACCTTCTATTTGAAACTTACCTTAGTTCGTTCTCTTTTTACTCCAGAATTAAAATAAAATAAATTCTTTCTGTTTCTTGTAAAATGAACAAATATTTTTACCACTTCAAAAAATTTTTTAATCAAAATCTTAAACCAGACCGAACTGCGTAATAATTACTGTATACGTCAGAGACTGACGATGAGTTGTAGTTTTTTTAAAAATTAATTTCAAGGATAACATCTTAAAGACGGAAATTTAAGGACAGACTGAATTCCCTTCGCAGAAACCTTTCAAATAAAGTTTGTGAAAATTTCATGAAGCGAAAACATTTTTGGAATGTCCAATTGTCCATTCTGTAATATCAAAGAATAAAAATGTCCGAGTACTAGTCTGTTCAATTATTTATTATTTGAAATCATTTTTGTTTTCTCCTTTGAGGTTACAATAAAGTGATAAATATCATTACATTGTTTGTGGTTGTGGTTGTTGTTGTTGTTGTTGTATGCTTGTTGTCAATTAGTTTTGAGCTTATTTCTTCTGTTCCTCTAAGTGTCTGTGTGTGAATTTCGAAGTGTAACGAATATATTCGGCCCGTAATTTGTTCATACATAATATTATTTGGTACATTTGTTGTATTGTTTGTTATTATTTTATTTGGAACAAATTTTATTTTCCATTTATCTGTATCTTTATTAAATGTACTATGTACTTGGTCGTCCATGCCATTTTGATTGGGAGTTATGATCCCAAATATTATTATTATTATTATGCTTGAATGCAACCGATTCAGAACGCTATGAATATCCACCGGATAGGATTGGATGTGTGTGTTTTCTGTACGATGCACAATATTATTGTATCCATTTATTTATTTTTTGTTTCATTTATTTTGTAAAAATCACTTATTTAGGCATTTTCGAATAAATCAAAGCGAATTGGTTTCTTTTTTTTTTTTGAGCGATATATTTTTTAAAAAAATTTCAAGTATTTTCTTTTATAAGACATAACTAAGAAATGGAAAAATCAAAATACTGAATTTCCAACAGCATATTTTTGTTTGTTTAAATTCATTTAATATCTACAATAAAAATGTGTTCAGTTTTTCTTTGGTTGCAGAACGAATATTGCAAAGACTACTAAGGAAAGAACGATGACAAAACAAAATATAACACTTTTCGATTACATGCTATTTTAGAATTGAAACCAAAAAGAAAGGGAAAAGGAATCGTTGAGAATTCATACATTGAGCGAGAGAGAAAGCGCATAGAGTCATAATATTTTAAAGCAAATTATATTTTATATTTTCATAAAATTATTTGGCACACTTTGACATCTAAAAAAAATCAGACGGCAATTAAAATCAATTTAAAAGGAAGACATTTGGGTTTTGATGAAAATTTAAAATTAATGATTTGAAAATAAATAGATATATCTGATGGGAGGAAATATTTTTTTTTTGTTTTTTCTTAAAATGTTTGCAAATGACTGTGTTAAAATTAAAATGTATATTATATATACGAGTTTTCTGCATTTTCGGCTGGGCTCCATTCTCTTTCGCTATACAAATCCGAAATAATTGGCAATTTTCTTATCGGCAAACAAATTTCTTCGTAGGAAGGAAAAGGAAGTGAAGAAATATGGAGAACAAAGTTTAGAACGACACTCTCGACCATAATATTTTTATTTTGCTCAGAAAATTAATTATTTTTTTATCGATAGTAGAAAAACGAGAAAATTGTTAATTTTTAAATATCCTACGTAATAAGTGAAAATTTTTTGTTTACTTTTTTTTTAATTTATCCATTTTTCATCTAAGATTTTTTTTTAGTTGCTGTTTCAATTTTTTTTTTAATGAGACTCATCTCAAAAACAGTTTGAAAACTTTTCAACAAATTTTATTCCCGTCCTGTTTATTTTTTTGGTTATAATTAAAAACGAATTGAATTTTCCACTCATCGCCGACGAAAAAAAAAATACGAAAAATGTATTTTTTTTCTACATTTTGATATTTATTCATTTATTTCTTTTTCTCTCATCATCTCTTTCCGATTTTTTTAAAAAAGAAGCCAAATGTAATTCTCAAATGAATACACTTACAAAGCGATACGAGTGATTCAGATATGCGATATTATGTAACACAATTCTGTATAATAAAATTTGTATTTGCACGATTATTTTGCTGATCAAACTGTAAATGTATGACGAAATTTATCGTCGAATTATGTATCGTAAAAATTCACTTGTCTGAATCACTTAGATGCGTGCACATCTTTTTCAAATGGCTCAATTCGTTTATGAATATATTTCATTTGTCCATATTTATTTTTTTAAAGAAGGAATTTCTAATTTCGATTTGGTTAAATTTTAATAATATAATTCTTCATTCTAAAATATCTAATTGTCTATGTTCAAAATAATTTTTTTCGGATAAATCGATAAATGGAGGAGAAAAAACGTAATTTATTTCGAGTATAAGTGTTTGCTTGTTTTCTTCTAATTTAAGTTAATTAGCAACAACCGTGTTCAAAATATAGATATTTGATTTGATAATAATTTAGAATTGGAGTGGACACAAACCAAAATAATGTATATCTTCTTCTCTTTCATACACAATTTCTCAATGAAGAATTCGAAGAATTTCATTGATTAAGATTTGGTATCATTCGCTGTATGAATCCATTATTTGGCACCGTCGATATACATAGATTGGAAATTGGAAAAGAACTTACAACAAATGTGAATGTGTGAATTCATCGTCATTGGCGTCCATATGTCTATAATTTGTTTTTGTTTATTTATGATGAAAAACGTTTTTGCATGGTGTGTATCTATGTGTATTTCATTTAAAATGTCTTCCAAAAGCTTCGTGTATGTGTTATGAAACAACGATCTCATCGTCTGTTGTCAATTAATTTAACTCTTTATTCCGTTCATTTATTTGCGTTTCATATCGATAACTAATTAACTACAACGACGATTTAAAGTAACATCGACCTCATTATTTCAGACAACAGTGGAACGGCTGGATGTCATCCATTCGTCAAGAAAGAAGCTTTGAATTCAATGTTGTGCACTTCTTCAGTATTTTGTGGTAAACTTTGATCAGAATAGATAGCAGAAATGAAATAGTCATACGGATAATTGACATTCTGATCGATTCGGCAAATGGTTTATCATTATAGCGTTATCAAAAGCGTTTTTCCCATGTTTATTTTTATTGTTGGCCGTAGTTTTCATTTATTTCGTCTGGTTTATTTTTATATTGTTTTATATGCTGTGTGAAGTCTTCATTTACTTTAGTACAATCTGAGAATCTCATTGCATATGTATATTTATATTTATCGTTCATTTGCTATTTATACGTTTAATCGATGGCAAATATTTCCATGCTATGTCTATTTATTTTTTTTTCTGTTTTCGATATTGCCCAGATGATTTTCAGTGATTATTAAATTTCAATTCGGATAATTATTTATTTATTATTAACATTTGGCCCGGATATGTATTCTATCCACGATATGAGCTAGAGAAAATGTTCCGGTTCTTAATACTGCTGTTGTTTCTGTTCAATTTATCTCTTTTTGTTAAACGACAAAATGTCGGAAAAAATCGATGCGGAAAAACGTAAAATGTTGATGCTTCATTAGTTAAAAACAAAAAGTAGTTTACCAAAATGAATTACGTTTGAAAATGAAAAAAAAAATATGTCAACATTTTAAATTTATAATCTGAATCTTGTTCACCGTTGTTTGTTCCGTTTATATATCTGCATTCTTTTGTTTTTGGTGTTGTGAGAAGAAAAGGGACGAGTGTAGGATCATCAGCGAATCAGTGTCCTTTATTTAAATGGAAGCTCGATGTGCAGGTTGATAAAGGGGTGGCAAATCGGGTGGTCCAAGATTATGTTGTAACAATGTGGTTTGCGTTCGTGACGGTATCACACTACCAAAATCCATGTCGTACATATATGCGCTATCTGTGATGATTGCGCCACCGCTCAGCAAATCCTGATGGTGCGGATGATTCAATAATAAACGTGAATCATTCATTGTCGATGATGTGCGATATTGATCGAGTTGCTGTGACGTTTGATCGTAGTTGTGAAATTCTTTCAATGGCAGTACCGATGTGGGTAGTAAATGTCGAATGTGGCTTGGAGAGCGTCTTACCTTAAATCTATGTTTACTAAAAATGAGTTTACGTTGATTGATCAGTGAGAAAAAAAAAACGATGACGATGATGATCGTAATGGCAGTGAATATTTTATAAGAATGTGTTATGTGATGAATGTGTGCGTGTATGGATGGATATAAGTGTTACATAGAAAAATGATCGATACTCACTTTTTCGATTTACTTGCCCTAAAACAGGCACAATGACATGAACATATTGATGTATTATCACCAGTAACAGACAGTGTTTCGTGACCAATATGACCACTCAATATTGAATCATTTGCTGTTATTACATCTCCTTCTAGCGTCACTCTACCTTGAAGTGCCTGTAAATTAAGACACACAAAAATTTACAAACCGAATGAATTCGGAATACTACTAATTTAGATGCCACACGCAAATGGTTTTTCAATTTTTCATACCTGCATTGCTTGAGCTTCGTCTCGTCGCTCGTCTTCCGTATTCATCGTGACAAATCTAAGTACTAATAAATTTAAAGATGCAGCCACAATGGCCAAACCAAATAATATAAATATCAATGCGAACATAACATATTCCGGTTTTTTATTTAACGCATTATCCTTTTGTAATGCCACCATATCACCAAAACCTGAAATAAAATGAAAATATGAACAAACGGCATTGAACAACCTTTGGCTTCTATAAATGACATGGAAAACTTACCAATTGTAGTTAATGTAATAAAACAGTAATAAACTGAATCAAAGTAGCTCCATCCTTCAAATTTTGAGAATGCAGCCGCGCCACCGGCTATTGTCAACGAACTTAATGTTGTAACCACACAAATTAAATCTAATTCCGATGCAACGGTACGTTCACAATTCAACGATGATTTAACGGATTTTATAACAAAACTGTTCAATTGATGACAAAAACAAAACAGAAAGACATCAACTATTTGCTTTCATTAGTTAAAAATTACGTTTTTTCTCTTTTTTTTTTTGTCACAATTTGGATAACTGAACCAAACACTGTGTTTAAATTATGATTTAAAAAAAATTGATGTAAATTAGTGAGTTTTAAAAACACGAACCTGCTCAGTCTATTAACTCTTTCTCCGATACTTTGAAACATCACTAGTCCCAATGGGATGCCAACGATAGCATAGCACATGGTGAAGAGTTTGCCACCAATGGTGCTTGGTGTAGAATGGCCATAGCCAATGGTTGTTAAAACGGTTGTCGCATAATAAAAGGCACCGGTAAATTTCCATTGTTGACCGGCTTTATGTGGCTCCGATTTTAATATTACAGTTTCCATGACTTTAAAATCTTCGGCGCTTATGTTATATTTTTTCATGATCATTGCTTCGATTGCTAAAACAAAACAAAAAATGGCGGTGAAAAAAATCAACTCGAGAATATGTGTTTTATCGAAAAGCAAAGTGAAAAATTGTGCTGCAACTTACTACTTAATGCAAGCCATCGTTTTTTCTCTGTTTCGGATTCAAGTGCATCAAATACGGCCGCCCCAACAAGTAGATATGTAAATGTGCACACGATTAATGAGATCGTACGAACATTTTGCTTCTTCATTCTTTATTTACGAATGGGTGGTGGCGACATGCTCAGGCCTCTGATGAAAAACCTCTGTCATAAGCCGATTTCCCTCTTTCAATTCAGCATCAAACCAACAACCATTGACAGCACGTGTATAAATTCACCAATCGGTGATTGAACTGACGTATCTGTCTCAATGCTTTTTCTTCAAATTTTCCGATATTATAAATATAATTCTTCTTTTTTTCTGCTGCGTCGACAGATGTGAACTAGATGGATTCTTTTTTGTTTTTTTCTTCTTCTCTCTCTCTCTCTCAATATTTATTCGAATTGGTGTTTTGGTTTCTGTATTTTCCAATTTGATTGATTGGCTTCATAGCAAGGTGGGGGCTCACATCTAATTCACTCCATACGTTTTGGTGCAAATGTATTATATTCACGTGTTTGTGTGTGGCTGTTCCTTTTTAAGAATATACGTTTCCTTGGCAGTACCGAGCCCCCACTTAAATATATTGCTTTCCGAAACAAAAAACACACACAAACAATCAACAAAATTGTTTGTTTTAAATTCTCTGAAAATTGTCTTGATAGTTGAAATAATTGGTTTTAATCTATCTCTATCTCTCGTTCATTATAATAAGTTTTAAGTTTTGTTAAGATTTGTGAAGTGTTTTCGTTTCAAAGTGTTGTTCCATTTTCATAAGATAGCATTTTCTTGCGTCGAATTTCGTTAATCTTAAACGTATCTGAAATGAGAAGAAATGATCCGAATTCAGTGGATTATTTATTTTAAGTAAATTACGTTGAATTTGATATTTAAAAGCTCTTGCTTCAATTGCAAGTAAAATACTTTATTCGATTGGGTTAGAATAAAAGTTCGGCTTATATTTTAGCTCATTCATTTAACGCGTTTTCAATATGGTGTATTATGTTAATCCCAAAAAAAAAAAAAACAAAATCAATTTACATCGAACACCATTGAAAAATTCGTTAAATTTAACGATGCACATAAATTTTATATTGAAATCGAAAGGATTATGAGTTCATGGTCTTTGAACGATTCTAATCGCTTTTGCACTTGAGACGAAGAAACAAAATCTATATATTTATAGAAAAAGTGAATGTATCACAAAAACTGCAGAACGATGCTGACGCAAAATGTGCATTTAAACAAAAATGTCAATGAAAGATATCATCACACACAGCAGCTAACATAAAACCCGAAAAATAACAGCATGAGCAGCAGCAGCAACAACAACAATAACAACAATTAAAAATAAAACACGTTATTGCAATTTACAAAGTGTCAATACAAATTAGTAAAAATTGACCAGAGGAAGAAGCAACGAGTTGAGCATGAAAGTCAAGTGTTTCATATACAGTTTGCCAGTTTTCTGTGGTAACACGAACGTATAATGAAATAAACACAAGCAATTCTAAGCCACAAAAATACACAACAGCACACACTTGACGTCGACAAACACTTCCTTTATTTTATGTGCTTGATATTTAAATGTTGGCTAGCTCTTAGTGGATGCTTCATTTTGGGAATGCTTGTGCTTGCTCCATCCATATCGAGCATGTGTGTGTGTGTCGTCGTCGTCGTTGTTGACGACGACGTCGAATGCTTGTGTGTTATTGTATTCGGCTGACGTGAATTTGGCCCTTGTGCTGTCCGCGTAAGTATAGATTTATCCAACCGAATGACGAAAGTGCGCTAACGTGTGTGATGATGCTGCTGCTGCTGTTGTTGGTAGATTTTTTTTTTTAGAAAATTGATGCTGTATTTAAATGATGATCTATAAATAGACATTCAACTTGAATGGATTGCAATTAGTGCAACTGATGAGTTAAATGTATGGATGAAGGGGCAAGCACAATTCGGTTATTTGTGATTCGGTACTGACATTTTTGCTATATTTGACTCAATCGCCTGAAGGGTAGAGAATGCAAAGAAGGGTAGAGAATGGATCGAAACAAACTTAATAATTCTATATGCTTCTGTCCCTTCTCAGAACATTAATTCATCTTGGTAGCTAGCAACCAATGCTGCGTATGAAATCGCATTGAAGTGACTCTTTTTATCGTTTTTATATCCTATTTTTCTCTCTCTTTCTCTCTTTTCAATATATACCAAGCATATCTTTTCCCATTTATACGCACCAAATGAGAACAGGAAATAATAAAATAGCAATTGAACTTTACTTCTTACTGCAATATTTTCTCGCACTGCCTTACTCACTGATTTTACTTTCAATTGTCACTTTGTTCACATTTGATTATCGCTACGTCGACCGAAGTGATTGCACGACAGTTGCTAATTCAATTCAAATTTACATGAAAGGCAATAAAATTGTATTTTTTCCTATATCTCTTTTAAACATTTTCCTGAAACCTTATCAATTTTCATTAACATCATGAATCGAGTGGTTTAATTGAATTTGGGGGAGTGAACCTCTTGCTGTCGACAGCTCGACATCATCAATTTGCAGGCCGAACAAAATATTATTTTCTTCACATCAAAGAGAAAAAATCGTTGATGTTTTTTTTCTCGTCATCGTCGTCTTCTTTTTCATGCTTTCTTTTATTCTTACACAACAGTAGTCTTCGGCACTTCAAAAAAAAAGTCCTACTACATGATATTAGGAAGGACAAAAAAGCATGTGTGTGTGTTTGCAGAGTACTAAGAAAGCTTATTTCTTCTTCTTTTTTGATTGAATTTTTGTTTGGATAAAATATTATTTGACCAGATTTTGTAGCATGCATAAAAACATCCCCGGAACGTTTGACGTTGGCAATGATTGATTTCGGTTGGCAAGTAGGAACTGAGGCGACGAAAAGAATAGTGTAAGCAAGAAATACACGTATATATATATGAGAGAGAGGGAGAGATAAAAAAAAAGAAACAACAGAATCTTCAAGTCACTATGAGTGGGTCATATATAGTATATATATTATAACACTTTGCACGAAAGACTTCAACTTCTAACTCACTCACTTTCCAATTGCGTAGCCTCCTTCTTACGATGGTTATCTTTCTCTTTTTCACTTCGAACAGCTTTCGGTTTTGAATCTAAAGCTTCTCACAAAACAACAATGATAACGCTCATTGTTCCATGCATCAGCGATTTGATTTTGTAATGTCTCCTTTTCTAATAAATCTTAATCGTAATTTTTGTAAATGAATTTTTTTGTTGTTGTTTTTTTTACCGCAATGGCATTCAATTTCAGAATCGAAGGCAATTTATTGATGTTTTATGTTTGCCAATTCCTTTGTTGATTGTGTGTCAATTATACGGCTTTTTCTTTGGTTTCTTAAGACCAATTCAAATCCTTATTACACAGACTCACTCTCTACCCGTGTGTTTTTCATGTATTTCACAATATTTCACTGTTTTTTAGTTCAGCCAATATTTTCAATTTTGTTTACAATAGAATTAAATCATTTGTGAGAATTTTCGAGTGTTTTTTTTTGTTTCTGTTCTGTGGAAGCAAGCAAATTTTGAAGATGTTAAGTTGAAACACTTTTTCGCACTGAATAAGCACACGACTCGATGTCGTTTTCTTTTTGTCCAAACAAATTTTCACTTCAGCCACAAATTTTTTCCTTCTTAATCGTTTCCACGTTTCATTCGTTGTCGTTTCGTTTTGAAAGCAACAAAATATTGTGTTCAAAGAAATAAAAGGAACAAAAACAAAAAAAAATGCTCGCCTATTTCTTTTTTTCTCTCGCTTCACGAGATTCACTTTTTTATTCTTTTGAATTTGAAATCGGATTTCGTTTTGTTAAAGAAAAACACACACAAAACACAGTTGCTGCTGCTGCTGATGCTATAGTGAAACATAGGGTGCGCGCGTACAACAGCAATGTATTTCGAGTTCGCAATGTGTAATATATATATTTATTTCAGCGAGAAATGGGCAAACCAAGAGAAAGTTGAGATGATATGCGATTATATGAATAACGAGTGAAAAATGGCACGGGAGCAAGAGAGAGCAAGAGCCGATGTGTGTATGTGTATATATTAAATACGAGCGAAAAACCGAGATGGAAGAAAAGGGAAAAAAAACACGCACAACCGAACAATCTGCTATAAACTGTATCAAAATGTGTCGTACGTTGCGTCGGACGTCATCATACGAAGACAAAAGTATTCGGGAAATGGAGACACACAAAAAGCGATTGCGTCCGTAACAAGAATGAGAATAATTACCAGCAGCCAGCAAGGATGCTGGCAGATTTTTGGTTGTACGTATGTGTGTGTGTGCGCGCTTGTGTGTGCATGCTACATATATACGGGGTGAGCACACAGCAAGTTGTATTGTCTAAAGAGAAGCGCGCAAGTATTAAACATGTGTGCCAACAGTGGCAACATCACCACCAGCAATATTTCATTGGCTTTTTCACGCGCAACCATATACCACACACTTCATCCCTATACATGATATGAAATAGTACGAAGAGAAAATCACATTTTCATACATCATCCATTTTTCATTGTACCAAAAATATTTTCGATTATTTCCATCCCGAAATAAAATTGACATTTTCATCATTCTCGTTCGCATTCCATTTCTTTTTTTTTTGGGGATGGAGCAACCACATCTTTTGGTGTTAAACAAAAAAAAAATGACCGCATAAAAAATGAGATTGACGTTCAACTACGCGTATAATTGCATCAGATCTAACGCCATGAATTGAAAGTGTCCACAAAATGAGAGGAGAGTAAAAAAAAACATGGAAAACGAAGACATTCCCTCAAGCATGTTGCGTTAGGGATAAAAAAACACTTAATTTTCGTGCGGTAGTGAAGAGAATGCGGATTTAGCGGAATGTATCATGTGCGAGTTTGCTCTTAACAGCGCTCAATCAATCGAACTTTCGATGTGGAAGAAAAAAAGCATACCATCTTATGCTTTTGTGGCCTATTTTTTCTTCCTCCCTTCGTATGCTGGTATTAACGACACATGCGCGCACACTGTCGGCCGAACATGTCACAAATTATTGTTCCAACAACTGTTCGGAGAGATAACAACGTATCACTTTGGCTAGTTCACAACAGAGGATGATTACATATGCTTTTTTTGTTTGTTTATTCAAAGATAAAGAAAATTGAAGCTGTCATCTGTGATTTATGATTAATCTCCATCTAAATCAATGTTTTCACATATTCATGTCATGATTCACTCCATCAATTGCGAGTAAATTTTAGATGTCCTTGCCAAAAAAAGACAAGAAAATTGGTCGCTCGGTTTATGCATTGCATTTGCTTTAAGGAAATTCAAACGTTCTGACATATTGAAGTAGTCACTTCATATTATAACATGCGCAATAGGACATTACGAATAATGACATTTCATTCCTTTAACTTCCATCAAACTGTCAAATAAATGTCCAATGTGTTCTGTGTATAAAAACTTTCGACGACAATAAAAACATTTTTATCTTACAAATAAAATTATTAATATTAGATTTTCTGCGAAAAGAAAACGATTCTCTTTTAAGGGAAAAAAATTGTTTATTTACGGGTAAAGTTTCCTCGACAAATAGATACCGATATAAGGCGGGGTTAACGACCATGGGGAACACAAATTCGAATCAGAAAAATCAGGATCATATTTCCGAAATGAATAGAATTAAAGTGAGTGCAATGCAAAATAATAACATATCAGATTTTATTATGGAGATTAAAAATTAAACCCGATTTTACAGATGGAGCGTTGGATTCAGATGCACTATCAAATAAAAGAACGCGAACGTGCCCTTGAGATATCGAAATCGCGAGAACTATTCTATTGGATTGGTGCATTTTACAATGTGAGCCTGATTGGATTGTTTTATAGGTGCTGAAAACGATTTGCCATTTTCTATCGATTACTGAAATCTGTAATTTCAACGCCTCTATTCACATTTTTTTTCTATTTTTAGATATAAAATCACGAAACGAACAACCAATCTAATGGCAATAGGTACATTTCCATTTTTCTATCGATTACTGATATATTCATTCACTTTTAACGCCTTGTTTTTACACTCTTTCCCCACCGGTTTCGTCGCCATCACCAAACAGTGCCTTTAACATTCGTACTTGGTTATTATGGAGATTTGGCTTATGGTTCGAAATTGCATCGGATTAGAGGTTTGTTGACTCTGCACATTGAACAAACGTATTCAATTTCACAGTTTCACATTTGCAAATGATTATGCATTGTGACTTTGATGAATTAATTTTGGAATTGAATTTGATGAAATATCTATATCTATATGTATATTTAGCTGAAGCTGATATGATAATGCAAAATGAATCAGAATTGTTGGAGTGGCCGTGTGGTTTACCAACTGTGTCAAGCATTGATCAAGCACGAGTTGACATCGAAATGGAAAAAAAATTGCATCCATTGTCACCATAAAAACACCATTCCGTACCAGCAAATGAACGTTAACTACATCAGCGAGACTTTTTATCTCGAACTGCAATGTGCAGCGTGTGTGAATAATTAAAATATTAGGGTTTCTTGACATCGCTAATCATTTTTTTTTATTGTTTAGAACTTGGGTGTTATTTGACATTTTTTTTTTTTTTCAAAATAACTTTTTCATCCATTTGACTCAAAATAAATGAAATTCTAAAAAACACTTGAATTTCAATTACGTTACGTTATCGGCATCATTTTTTGACGGGATGAATGAGTTCAGCAGCCGTACCAAAGTCGAATATTTTTTTTCAATTAAAATCCTACAAATGTAAAATACAGATAAAATAAACGATTGGAGTTTGAATTGTTTTTTTTTTTTTTTTTTCAAAAAATGATGCGTATTTTATTGTTGATAAACTAAGCATTTTCAGATAAGAGAATGTGTGACAATGAAATTGCGCTGATGATAAAACGAGTGGGTTTACCACCCATTTTTCCATGCCGATTTTCGTTGTTGCCGTTACTGTATTCCATTCCATTTACGTCAATTCAACAACGAGACGAATGTTTATCAAAGAGTCGTGTCATTATATTTAAATGCGTACAATGTTGCTTTTATCTTTGTGAAAAGTATATTAGATCGGTAAATGTATCTACATCTCTATTTTATTAATTGTTTCGTTGACACAGCAGTTTAGTTTTTTTTTATATATTCGAATTTTATTAAAATAGCCACAAAATCTTCTTGATACATCATTTGATTTTGCTCGCATTTTGTAGTCAAAAAGTTATCATTGACGAAAAAAATAATTAAAAATAGCGTCCAGACTAGGGTCGACGTTCCATAATCATAAACCTATCAAACGTCAAACGATTCGAGAGATTGTGTTGTATATCCATTATGGCATTGCAATACGTTGTTCATTCGTGGAATTTGGCAGTAGATTATGATTTGTTTCGTTGAAAAACGTCTTGTTTCGCTTTAATATGCATCTATTTAATGTGCTGTTTTTATTCGAAAGCATTCAAATGAAAATAAATGTCATTTGACCAGCAATAATTCGTAGTATTTTTAATTGTCAATTCACACAATTGATCTCACACCACTTGAATTTATTTCGCAAGTTTTTTTTATTAAATAATAAAAGATTTATAAATTCGAATACATCAAATAAGTTTGAACGGTTTGCACCGTTTTGAATATGCGGATATATCATTGAAATTTTTATTCGTAAAACACGGAACCAACTATTTTCATTACAAAATTGATACCAAAAGTTTTATGTCTTGAGTTTTAGTTTCGTCACTCGTTCTTTAGGCTCGATAGAGGTATTTTGTTTCATTAATTAAAAAAAAACCGTTAAAAAATCATAAAACGGACGGACGGTATGAGAATGTCTGTTTTGCGATAATCCGTCTGACATCCCACTGGGGTCATTTTCATCATTTTACAAAATTTTGATTCTGATCATAGCTCCTGACGGTCACGTTCAAAAAGGGGGTATTTTCCAAAATTTTCAAAATTGTAAATTCTATCAGAATCCCAGGCGTTTTTTCCATTTTTTTTTGCTCTTCACTTTTTTGACGAAAATCGCTAGCAAATCGAAAGAGTTTTTTTCTCAATTTGTAAAGGGGTTATTTCCAAATTCATTCTCCGAGGGAGTTAATCAGACCCTTCGAACCCCTGGTTAAATTCCAAATTTTCATATTTTTAAAATATTTGGTTTTCGAAATGAATATGATATAATTCGTTGAAAATGCTCTCTGTACATTCTTCATCCCCGTATGCTGAGTTCATATCGGTTTATCGCTTGGTTGGGTTAATTTCAAGTTCAATTAAATAAAAATGTGATTCTCAACAATATAATTATATAATTATGCAAATGTAATAAATATGTCATTATTTCGTCATTTCCAGGTCAGATTTGATTAAATAATATTCCTCTAAAACCATTTCAATTACATACAAAAAGTGTATCTTCTTTTTTTTTGTTTTAATTCAATTGAATATGATTGTGCAGCATTAAAAGCAACAAATTCGACGAAGAGTTCTCATTCTTGGAAATGAGAATTGGTGTGATGATTTAATATGAATAGCATAATAACAGTGAAAATGACACAATTCATCCAGTCGTTATAAAAATGCGTAAATACTCGATACACAATTTGTAAAATCGTTAGATGAAATTGTGTGTCATCCAATTGTTTGACACAAGACACACACTCAACCGGCTGATGCAATAAAATTTAAAAGTTATCGTTGTCATTTTTGTTGGTCGGTTGTCTTTCGTGTTTTCGTTACATGATCCATAACGATCTAATAAAATCGTACGTTAAAATGATCGAATCAAGTAAAATAAATGGCCTGACCAAACAAGACAAAGCTAAGAATAGTGATATATGTTGGCCGACGATAATAGACAGAACCTCGATTCGTATTATATGTATAATCAACATGTACTTGCACATATCGCATGTGCGATGATAGCCACGAAAGAGAGCAGGCGTTTAATGTTTTTTTTTGTCTCGTATTTTCATAGATAATTCATCCAAATGATACTTATTCACAAATCAGATGGTTTGCCGAGCCATTGTAATCGTATTAATATGCGAAAATATATCTTCATTATCAGTGTGTGTTCGTATGTCTGTTTGGTATGCGTTTGTGTATGGGTCTTGATTTTGAGCATATGAATCGAAATGTACAGACGATTGTGTCTAATCTAAGCTATGGACCATTGTTATTGTCGATGCTATTTATATTGTCTGATTCCAGCGAGAGAAAATGAAAAATGAATTAGGAACGACACAGTTCATTGTTCAATGTTTCGATCATTTTTTCTGTTCGAAATAAATTAAAAAAAAAAGTTTACGAATTCGTATCATGACTTTTTTTATGATTAGAAAAAAAAAAGCATTCAACAAATTTTTCAGAAGCAAGGAATCGATAAAAAGAATGTATCAAAACAAAAATTGCAAAAATAAGTCGATCTTTTTTTTTGTTCAATGATTGGGCCATATTCACGCAAGCATGCGATCATATGAGCTGAACCATGTACTTTTTCTGCTTGTAGATGTATGAAAAGGAGACGAGATAACAGGTTTCTATGAGTCATGTGCTCTCACAAGAAAAGCAACAACAAAAAAACGTACACTTCCTCAGACGCCAAGAAAGCCAAACTCTGAATGACTCATCCTCTGAGGTTTCGATAAAATTTTGAACGTATAAGTCCTCAATTATTTTAGTAGAAACAAACGCCGCACGTAAACAACGTGACACACAAGCAGGTTATGCTATACATGCAGACAGATCATTGATTTTGTATATATTTTTCTCTCTCTCTTTCTTTCTCTATTCTGTCACACACACACACATACATCGAACAAATTGCGACGTTGTCGATATCGAAATGAAGAGATTCTCTTTTTCTTCACTTCGACACAATAATAAAATAGAATTTATATGAATATTGTTACACGATACAGGCCAATCTCAAATTTATGTAAATTAATCCAAGTGCAACGGATTTAATAAATGTATACTATGCTCACCATTAACTAAATAATAAAGTGATGGAGAATAGAACATACAGAGATGAAAAAAAACCTCAAAACACCAACAAGAGAATGGAGAGAAAGGGAGGGAGACAAGTAATATACAGCAATAATAAATCTGTGTTGTGAGAATTTTCGTTGCACATCTTTTCATTGCGCGTAGAAAATACTCAGCTATAGGATAATATACTTTTTTTTCACTGTTGTTGTTCTGTCAGGCAGATTTCTGTGCATCGACAATTCCATATAAAATGTAAAAGGAAGTGGTACACGAGTTTCATATTTCTATCTTTTTCTCGTTTTGGAATGGAATTTATATGACCACAAAATGCGTCAATAACTTTTGTTTTTAATTTCGCCGAATAAATTCATTCCAGTTATTTTTGTACTTTATCAATCAGACATTGCTAATTTGCCGAACAGAACGCTCAGTCAGTTATATTTATGTATATAAACAATATCCAGCTTAACTCATCGGGTATATGCAAGAAATTAGCAATCTTTGCTTTATCAATGCGAATTTAACTAATGATCGTCACCGGAATAGTGTTTTTTTTATATTTATCGTCCAAACTATTCCCGGTATTTAACATACACTGAGTCTAATATTTTTGGTAGACAAAATTTAGCATGGCACACTCCACTCACACGCCATTCGTATATAAATCCTATGTCAATGGAGAGTTTCTCTGCTTACTTTGATTGTTATTTTGTCTATCAAAAAAATTAGATTCACTGTATATCCTGGGTAATGATAAGTAGACAAAATTTCTTCAAATTTTTTTAAACAGGAAATTTTGCGCTTACACTATCTAAATGATTTTCTACGAATATTAACGTAATATGTCTGTCGTATTGTTTAAATTTCATTCATCCGAATTAATCGACTACACAGAGAATTCTCTCACTCCAAATTTCATTTTATTTGTTCAAAGTCTAGAAATTTTCCAAAAATCTTATTGTGAACGTTTTAATTTTTGGAATCGCCGTTGCAACTATGTAAATTTTCATTCCTCCGCAAGTGTTTTGGATGTGGCTGGCTTTTTTTTTCTTCTCTGCTTTCTTCTTTAAATGTCTACTATCAATTGTTGGTCAGTTGTTCCGTGTTTCATTTTGATTGTATTGTGTTTGCGGCCAACCGTATTTGGTCGTATGGTTATTCTAATATTCGAACAATGATTTTAATGTCTATTCTTCAGTCTCCGTTTGACGTTTTTCTCGCTCCTTCTGGACCATGATTTATTCGAGATGATCTAGAGCTTAAATGAAAAAAAAACAGCAAGCGCTACAGTATGCATATATTCGATGGCTTGGTTTGTTGTTGTTGATCATTTAAGTTTTGAGAGTTGTAATCACTATTCGTGTATATACATGTTCGTTTGAAAAATGTGTTGTATTCGTTGTTGTTGTTGCGCGTTTTACGGGTATTTTATTTTATTTTTGTATGCATATGTATATTTTTAAGCTTGAGTTGCTCGCAAATCCGCTGATCTGAGCGCGTGTGCCACACAGTGATTTAGAGAGTGAGATGGATGGATATCGCGCGCGCACATATCTCTATCTATATATATATGTGTGTGTCTGTATATTGTGGACATTGGATTGTGCGCGCGTGCATACACATGAACTGAATTGGAAAAAAAATGAAGTAATGAGAAGCATTGCACTGATCACATATTCATTCAAATTCACCTATACAAACGGTGTTTGTTCTTATTTTGATAGTATGCGAGAGGTTCGGTGTTTCATGGTTTTTGTGTTTATATAGCACAGAGTGATCATAGATCGTCAACGTCGTCGCGCTTTGTTAATGTTAAAAACAAAATTATGCCTTCATTGATATTCCGTAAAACCAGTACTCAACCATATACAAACCTGCTGGATGAGCGTGAGCGCGCGCCTGCTTTACACACACTGATATATATACATCGATTGTATATTTCGTTGTTGTCGAACGGTGTAGCACAGCAAAGAACGAAAGAAGAGAAGAAAAAAAAAACAAATAAACAAATAAATAAATGTGCGATATACACACCGCAAATCATGATCGTTGCGCGAACGGCCAGTTTTTTTCTGTTCGTTCATAGTATGGTCGTACAGTGTAGTTGTAGCATCAACAGCAACAGCAGCAGCAGCACCACCAACATTAAGTCCAGTGCGAATTAAATCTCAAATATGTAGCAGTGTTACTGTTGTGCGCTGTTTTTTTTTTACTTCTCCATTTCGTCTTCTCTCATAACAACAGTGAAACACACATTTTTTTGATTTTCAATTTGCGCGTAAGAACTAGGTAATAATAATATTGAATAAAAAAATTGATTATACATTTTTTGATGCGATTTTTTCGTTGTCTCCACTATCGTCGTCACAATTTTGTGTGTGCTTGTGATTGAAAGTAAGATACAGCACATATGAAACGACAGAGAGAAAAAAAAACCACAACAACGAAATAAAAGAATAACACAACGTATCATAACTGCAACACATATAGTGGCGGCTCAATATTATCTGACAATAAATTCGATACATTAAAATCAAAACAACAACAACAACAAACGACGACGAACTTAACAGTTTATTCATTTTCGGTTGAGCAAAAATCATTTTAAATCTTTATTTAACAAATTGACGGATTTTTTATTGTGCTGTTAACTGAAATCGCAATGATATGCAAACAAAAAAGGTGTTTCTTTCGAAAATAATCGAGTGCACGTGTGGTTGTTCGTTTTCTTTTTATTATATTCCATGCAAATTTGACATAGAAAGAAAAAAAAAACAATGGACCTATTGAAATTGAGCAAATCCTAGAATATCCATAGCGTTAACAAATTAATGTTAAATGTGTGTAATAGGAATGTGCCTATAAATTAAGTGTGAATCAAAAGTGTCAGAAATAGAGAGAGAGAAAGAGCGACTGAATTTATTGTTGCTGTTTTTCAATCGTGTTCGTATCGTGGATGGATCTCTTGTGTCTTCTTTATTTGGAGATTTGAAAAAAAAGCGAATGAGAATCGATGCAATTCCATGCTGCACCGAATCGTGTTGAAAAACAGCGTAAAACGCAATAGTTTTTATTCGCTATCTCTTGTCTTAAAGTTAAAATACTTGTTTTTATTTTTTTAAGTTATTTTAAAATCCAAACAACATTAATTCTATATTTTGGAATGTGAACAGTGATAACACAGTTTGACAGAACAAGAGAGAGAGAGAAGAAAAATTCAAAAGAAAGAACAAATAAAATGCCTGAATGTATATGAACACAGTGAAATTGATGCAAATTCAGTATTTTTTCATGTATTATCGTCAGCTTTGACATGATAAAATGCTAAATAATAACATGGCGTTGACGCTATCCATATTTTTTTTACATTTTTCATGCAAAAACGGTTTGTTTTTTTTTTATCTAAACAAAATGTTTCAGTGAATATAGTGTTATTCAAATGAAAAATTGAAGTAAGAAGCAATATTCTGTTTTTTATTTTTTTTTCGTTCACTTATTACAATTATAATATCGCATCAGATTGGATTGGATCGCTGCTGGGTTTTTCTCGTAGTGTTGATTTCTTTTTATAGAGCTATTGTTGTTTGTGATATTGTTGCAGTTTGAAAAGTTGATGTTGCAATGATGTGTTCAACAGATGAAATTTCATTGTAGTTTTGGTGAATTCGGTGTTGTCAAGAATAAAAAGTGGAATAAACAGGCTTGGGCTGGATTTGGTTCAATCAAACTTATCAGAACGAATCAAGAAATAGAGGGAAAAAAAAGTAAATACACAAATCCACCGATCACAGTCTCTATTGTTGGTGAAATAGCATGCATTCTTAGTGTTATGTAACAAATAAGTGAGCCTTTTTTTCTGTTTTGCATTTCACACGGAGCTTTTTCCCAAGAAAAAAAGGCACGCAAACAAACATGAAATGAATCGATTTCAATTCGAGGTACAGAGATAGAGGGGGAGAAAATCCGACTTTTGTTGAGAAAAACTGTCAGTTTACAAATGCAATGCAGTCTAATGTTCAAAGCGTGTGTTTGCATTCCATTTGATGATGTTGACGATGTGAATCGCGCAATTTTGCGATCAGTTTCAAGTTGTGTGGTGAAATCTTTCAATTCACATTTTATGTGTACTCATCTTGGAATTTTGTTCTATTAGCTGTAAACGATAAACTAAATCGCTTAGAAAAATTCCAGGCAAACAGAAAAAGAAAGTTAGATGTCAACCATTGAGAATTGTAGTAATAGTTTTGTTGTTGTTGTTGCTGCTGCAAAATGCAAAAGAATTCGTCTTCTGAGCCATGGTTTTTCAGTCTCAATAGACACATATAAATATATGTCGCCATGTGCTTGTATTTCTCTCTTTCTCTTTCTCTCGCGCTTCGTTTTACCTCTTCTCATCTGTTGCCATCGATTTGCCTTTCATCGGTTTTTTTTTCTTGCAGCATTCGACCATTTAAGCTGCTAATATTACTCTTCAAATTGATTAATACTCTAACATGCATCGCTTATGTCGCAGCTTCATGCTGCTGCTGTTATTTCTGCAACCTTTGTTCAACTCTCTGATCACTCTAACCGGTCTTCACAATTAGTGATTTTCTAACGTGATTGCAAATGAACGATTATTGTGACCAAAACCCATACATATCATTGCCCTGACTCACACGCGTTCACCTAAGAATCGCATTTCCAACACTCATGCCGAGATATACACGCACACACACACAAACACTTTATTCTCTCTCACCTTTATGATCATTGATCAATTTTTTTCTGCATTAAATTATTCCATTCCAGAAGATGATGGATATTATTTTTAAACCATGGCAACAGAAAAAAAAGTGAATCGATCTATTTGATTTTGGAATAGCACATTCGCAGATGACTGTTTTTATTTGATTTTAGAAAAATAATTATGTGAATTAGACACATCGGTTAGATTAGACGTGTTCCAAAATTGGATTTGTTCATTTTATTGCGAATATATCCGAAGAACATAAATCCGTATTTATATTTGTTATTTTGGCTATGATTAGCATTGATTCTTACTTAGAAGATGAAGAAAAAGACTCTAATCAAAGTCATGATCGAGCATTTGGTAGGCCAATCAAAACAGACATTTTATTCACACAGCAACACATTATAAACCATACTTTGATTGATTTCACAATTTTAACAACACAGAACGTTTGATTTCATGTTTGACGGTGCAATTTTTTAATACTACTTAAGAGCTTCTTTAAATTTCAGAAAAACTGCGAAATATTCATTGTTGAATTTGAAAAGGTCGTCGAAATTTCAAATGTTTTAAAGATTCATTGAAATGTGAAAGAATATTGGACTCACATCGAATCAGAATAATACACAGAGAAAAATATGCAATGAAAACTGGATGAAATGCCATCTAAAATTTAGAACTAGTTGACAATCCATCTAAAATTGTATTTGTCCATCTAATTTTCATACAAAATATCGTGTTTGTTTATTCTCTTTTGTGCGGATTGGCAACTAGTTCCGAATTTTAGATGACATGTCATCCACTTTTCACTCTATATTTTTTTGTGTGTATGAATTTTATTTTCATTTATTTAACTCAATTTCTGTAGAAAACTTCATTAATCGTAATTATGCGAATTTTATCTTATCTATATTTAACAACAAATCTATATGAAAGAACACATCCTTTTTCGCCTTAATATGAAACGAAATAATATGCTGTTTCCATTCTAGAGTATATTTAGTACGAAAAATAAATGCAAAGATACTAGATATTTGAATCAAATTCGGGCGAAAAATGATTCATGTTCTGATTATATTTCTGAAAATCACCAGTAAATGCTCTTCGCATTTTAGTCAATAGCAAAATTAAACGTGATAAATGATAATTTATATTTGGCTGTGTATTTCTCCAAAAAAAAAAAAAAAAAAAAAAAAAACAATATTAAACTTGAAAATAAATGTTCAATTCGAAAATAGTGCCATTCTGAAAATGAATATAATATGCAAGAATATGGAACATATAATTAAGCAAATGGACAACTCATGCATTAAAATAACAATACATTTCGCATTCAATAGCCAAAAGAGCCTTGTATATTCTTTCATTTGAATTGAAAATCAAATCTTGCAAGTCAACCCTATAATTTTCCGAATACAATTTATAGAATAAAAATTCAAAATGAAATGACGTGCGCATCGAAAATTAACCGCATGACAATACAAAAAAAAAAAAAATTTGAGATAAAAACAATTTCGCGAAAATATTTAGAGTGCAAGTTAAAGGGAATTTGAGATTAACGATGACGTTATGGTTAATTATTTGGAAATCTTATCTTATTTTTTTTACCGCCTAAATGGACCGTTAAAATAGGATGGAGTTATACTTTTAAATTCAATTACAAACAATCAATCTTTTACTAATGAGTAATAATTAAAATGGTTAAACAATATGAAAATAATTAAAGGCAAGTGGACGAAACAAGTGTGGAGGCAGAAAGGAAAGGAGAGTGAGACCTGATGCAATTTAAATGGTATCACAGAGTAATTATTTAAATTCTCATAACAGAGTGCTATTTAAATAAATACGACCGTGATAAGAACGTTATGTGCTACAAATATGTATTAAATGAATAATTAAAATCACATAACGGCACATTGAAATACATCTTGTTGATATTGTAATGTCCATCATGTCAAATAAATACATCAACACCGAAATCAATGTTTGTGTATGTGTGTCCAGTGGACAGAAAATAGGCAAAACATGCGATTCTTGTAAAGATTTTAAATTTTGCGAATCGAACGAATTACACTGGACACAATGAATGAAAGAGTGTAATCACAAATTGAGAGTTAAATGAAACAAGTGATATTGTGCCATAGAGTTCAATAACATCACAATGAAATGTACAATAAAAATAGTCTATTTTTGCATGGTCAAATTTATTTATTAAAATATATTATTTAAAAAAAATCGTTCATCCTCCCATATTTACATTTTACAATTTTTACTGTGGCGATAAGCAACGTGAAGCGCCTAGTTATTGGCTAAATTTAATACTAATTCGTCAGAAAAAAATAGCAAAGATTGTCAAATACTAATAGATGCTTGACGACATCCAGCATGTTTGATTTTTCGTTTCATTTTATACTTTCATTTGCGCCCGCCAAAAGTCTATCGCTGATTGGATGTCCATTGCTGTGTTTGTTTTCTTCATTTGCCTGCTTGAATTGGGCCGAGACATGTCATTTTTGCTCGATAATGGACATATTAAATATTAATTACGACACTTTTATGCCACAATTTAGATCTTGATGTGATCATCATCTTTGTAACCGCCCCCCAAAAAACTGCATACAGCTATAGAAACCGTACGAACATGCCCAATCGAAGGCATCATTAAATATCAATTCTTTTTAATTGGCCGATCACAATTGATACAATCATACTAAAATAGCTATGCCCAATACTTTATTTGTCCGATGAACATTTCAGCACTTTTTTTTGCAGCTTCATAATTACTTCAGTAGCGTCGCACACAACGGTCCAATCACGTTGAAATGCTAATCAACATGAAATCGGTTTTGTGTTGAACCTTTATAATTCAATCAGAATCATTAATTATTAGACGCTCTCATCTTGTCAAGCGTAAAAAGAATATCGCACTATATATGATGATAATGAACCACGAAATTCACATACGTGTCAAAATTGTTTAACTCGATTTGCTATTCAAATACTAATTACATTTAAATAATCAAAAACAATCATTCAAATTATTCAGATCACAAGCATTTAAGAACAAAAATCTTATAGCAATAGTACTCCCCCGATTCGATTTTGTTCATCATTTATTTTACTCATTTCTCTTTTTCTCTTTCAGAATAACAACAATGTATAACAACAAATCGATTTAAATTAATATAAATAAAGTGAAAAAAAATGAATTGTAACATTCCGTGTGTGAATATATTATTAGTTATTATTTAAGTTGATTCTAAGTGTTGTCCGGAAATTATTGGCTTTTGGATTAACTGTATCGAACAACAACTTATGGAACACAACAATAATAACAATAAAAACCACGATTTTCGCATGGATAAAGTAACCATGGATTTTCTTAACGATTCTGTATTTGCTCTATTCGGTAAGTAACATTTATTAATACCATTTTTTTTTTCGAAATTCGAATACAAATAAGACAAAAAAAAAACATTCTCATTTCATATATCAACATAAGTTTTTGATTCAACTGGACGAAAAAAGACGTTGAAAAAATGTAATGAGCTTTTTATTATGCATATTTGCGTATGTGAAAAATGATCATTTATTGCTTGTTCTAGACAATTTATTATTTTGAAAGTTGAAAACGAAAAAAATGTTTATTCATGCTTTCGCACAAAATGTTTGACACGCATTTTAAGTTTTGGGGTTGTTGTTTGATGCGCGAAAAGCGTGTATTGAAAGAGTTCATTCAAAATGAAAAGGTAGAGAGAGAGAGAGAGAAAGAGATAGAAATGAAAATGAAATAGATTGATAGTGAATTTACGGTCAATCAGCGTCAATGCTAGAGCGAAATTATTTTTCATGCCGATGAATGCTGGCATTTTACATTTCATTTGATTCTACTTCTTTTTTCTCGGTCGTCTTGTATGTTCATGATTTGGCTGAAAAGTTGGGGAAAATTATTGATCAAACATTGCCCTGAACACATTCAAGTAAATCCCATTTTAAAAACCACATATACACAGAGAGAGAGAGCCGTTATACTTTTGTTCAATGGCTGTGTCATTTATCTATATGAGATCTACATGTGTGTTTGTGTCACGTATGTGCAGTTGAGTATGTGTGTGTGCACCGTTTTATCCGGCATTTAATAATATATTTTAATTTTTGTATAAAGTAATTGCAATGAAACTATTTTTTTGTTGGTTTTGAATTCTGTCAGATATTTTTGTAGATAAATCGAATGCGTTGCGTTGAAAAATCGCATAAATTGTATCTCTTGTGGTGTGTTTGCAGCAGACAATATATTGAGCTGATTGATCAGCCCAGCTGACACGAATTGGGACATTTCGATTGTTTAGCAACAACAATGTGTCTCGCTGAGTTTCTCTTTGAATTCTATTTTTGTATTGTCAGACAGTTCGCAGTGTCGATCGGGCTATACCGCGAGATAATTTTATCTGAAGCTTTATTATTAGGCTGAATAGTTTTAAGACTTAAAGATAAGCCTTAACATTATAGCGATAGCTTGCTTATTTTATCTCGCGGTATATCCTGGTTCAGATTTCATTTTTTTAGAGAGTACATTTTATGCGAGTTCTCAATGCAAGGCATTTCATTTACATGCTAAAATATTGAGCTGGATCCAATTTATATGTATATATCTGACGACGTATGTTGGCTTTAAACCCTGATTATTTTCAATGTCTTGTGCAATTTATTGCAAGCGCATATTTTCGATAACAAATTTTTTTTTGCAAAACTAACGACGAATCATATATGACGGCCTAAGAAGAAAACAATAACATACAGAATATTCTG